TTTATTTTATTGTTAATATCATTATTATTATTATATATTATTATTATTATTATTTTTATTATCATTAATATTTTCATTATTATTATTAATAGGTTAGAGGGAGGCCTGCACATAGAAATGTTCGGGATAGAAATGTTACTTCTGGTTCTCAGGCTCTTATGCAAGATCTGGTTTAGAAGTCAAGAAAAACTGTTTGCAGAACCAAATTTGTTTCCAAGTTCAAAAAGGTTTCTGTATGAAGATTCCTTCAAGCTATTAAACCCTTTATAGAGGTCAAAACTTTTAAGTGTTGTGAATCCTAGTATCAAGTAGATATCTCACTGTGAACTAGACAGGAGGTCAAATTTACACGACGTTGCTGGTACAACTTTGTGACCTCGTAGCTCCTCTATAGGTTTGATCTTGCGCTTCAAGTATGAAAAAAAAACTATATCTGGTTACATATGAGGAACTCGAAGCATTTTTCTCTTCCTCTTGTTGTTGAAAACATGTAAGATTTTAATATTAGTTTGACGTGTTTAAAACAAGTAAGATTTCAATTTTAGTTTGACGTGTTGAAAACATGAAAGATTTTAATATTAGTTTAACGTGCTGAAAACATGAAACATTTTAATATTTGTTTAACGTGTTGAAAACATGTAAGATTCCAATATTAGTTTGACGTGGATCAGTAGCTTTTGGTGTCTGATGGATTAAAATGTAAATACCTATTTAAAATTAATGGCAGGGGTGCATAAAATGGAGGGGAAAAGCACATGTTAACATTGAAAAGTGATTAATCAAAATTTACATCGAATGAAATTTACAGCAACGTCGTCAGATTGGAATGTTTAAATGAATGTAAACTATTATTCAAGATTACATTAAAAACATAAAATGGCATTACTCTATATAGTTGATGACGTAAACACAGGATTATTTTATTAGAAGAGCAATATAATAATTAATCTTTTAAACTTATTTTACAGTTTCATTGCTCAGAAATTTACAAAAACATTTGTCTTCGTAGTGCATGATGTTTATTGAAAAATATTACCTCTGACTTTGAGAAATTATAATGTAAACAATCGATAACCATGTACGATGAGTACTTTTATGTATATTGTACAAATTAACTAAGATGTTAAGATTTACTAAAATAAACAAGTGCCAAAAATAGAGGTGCTTTCTAGCAATATATGTAATTGTATACTCAGTGAAAATAATAAACCTATACATATTATGTTTCTTTCAAGCATAACAAAAAACTATGATGAACAAGTAAGTTCCTTTTTACCCGTCAGAAGCTTGTTATAAGTTTGCTATAGATAGAATTCGTTCAATGCCTTCAAATTACAAATCTAACATTTGATAAAGATCGTTTATATTGACTTTTGATTGATTGATTGATTGATTGATTGATAGACAGACAGACAGACAGGCACTCAGACAGACATATATAGCACCAGTTTGGGAACCCACTTCGCCTAGAGCTCTCCATATAAAAGTCAACCCAACCAATCCAATTTAGTATTTTAAACATTCTTGCAGTTCTCCCGAATTCTCTGATCAAAATTTGAGGCAAATCGGTTAAAGGTGTTTGAGAAACAGATCAGACATCCAAACAGAAAAACAGATGAACAGAGATTACTACTTTATATATAAATCTGTTCATTGTTCATCTTCATTTTTCTGTTTATCTTCTTTCTAATTTGTTTCTATTTCTGTATTTATTTTAGGGTTTATATTTTCATACCATTATATCCTGCGCCCCTCCTATAAACTATCACAGAATACTCACAAAGCATGCAACATTAATGACGACCTGAAACTCGTAAAAACTGACGTTTTAAAGGTTAAATTTTATCTGTGGCTTTTGGTGTAATTGTGATTAATGATATTACAAGAATATGTGTAAAGCTACAGGGAACCATAAATGTGAAGAATGCCAGATCAAGTTCTTAACAGTCGTCTCTGAAGATTCATCCTTTGTGGGTGACCCTGTATGTCATGAATCTAGGCCCCGATAAATCTCCGTATACTTGACTCTTAGTCAGTCTCTCTGACTCTATCTCTAGCCAAAACTCAAGGCTCTATATACGTCTGTCTAAATCGACTATTGGTACTATACTACTTTATTAATACAGGTAAGTAGAACTGACCGGAATGGCCGGTCAGGGTTAACATGAAACAGAGATATGATAGATAAACGAACACAGATAATAAATATATTACTAGCATGATTACATAATTCATTACATGTATTTCTCTCTGTAGGCTCTGTATAGTAAGTATATAAAAAATGTTCGTTTACAGTATACACACATGATCTATTATTATCTCCAATTCGCGATCCCAAAATCACTGTAATTTGAGAACTTGATATCGTCTCTCTCAAGGAGAATTTAATTCTCCTTGGTCTCTCTCTAAATTCGACATCTAGCTAATATATCTATCTATCTATCTATCTATCTATCTATCTATCTATCTGTCTGTCTATCAATCTATCTATCTATCTTTTTATCAGGCGCGTATACAGGATTTTAGCCTTCCTCCCTCATATTTATCTACCTTCATATCTATATTAAAGTATTTCCCTTATTCTTCCCTATATGTTTCTCCCTTCCTATCTATCCATTATTTCCATTCCTCCGGTATGTGTATCTATACCTCATATCTATCTATTTTTTACCTTTCTTCCACATATGTATCTACCTTCCTATCTATCTTTTATTACCCTTCCTCCCATATATGTATCCACCTTCCTATCTATCTTTTATTACCCTTCCTCCCATATATGTATCAACCTTCCTATCTATCTATCTCTGTTTGTGCTATGAATAAGCTCATGAATATTGTATTACAACGAATAATAAATTTGCTTGACCTACGACCT